CGGCTTGTCAGAGCAGGCGGTAGGCAGAAAGTATCTGGAATGTTAGAGCAAGTTCAGGGGTCCGAATGTTCTCTTCAAAATTTCTCAAGTGTGAAAAAGACTGAAGTCAACGCACCCTTATATAGGCAAAAATGAGAAGGCGAAGGGTCACTCCCAAATTCAAAATTTGAGCGGGAAAACCTCCCGGCCTTTCATCGAGTGACACCTGTAGCAGGTCGTCGCCTGTTACGGTCCGACACCTGTCACAGGTAACACGTGACCAGTCACGTGCCACCTGTGAGGGGCAAATGATTAGGGGATTTTTATCCACCAATCACCATCTGGCAAGTGGACCAACCAGGTTCCGCCACGTGTCCTTCACGTAGGCCAATAGGAGCCTGCCACGTGTCAATCAGAGATGCGTCCTCCTTGGACTAATTGCGACGCGACACGTGTCCACCCATGCCAAATGGGAAAATCAGCCAACAAGGCCCAATCCTTGTGGGAAGCCCAGTCAGCCCTAGGTTAAGCCTAAACCTAGGTATTGGCACGCTTCCCAAGGCATATAAATATGCTCATTAATCCTCATTAAGGGGGATTACGCACATTAAACACTCTCACCTAGAGAGACTCAATTACAATATTCCGCATTAATTACTCCTTGAACAAGTACTAACTTGACCGTTGGAGGCGGATCTCCAATCACTCGGAGTATCCGTTTGTTTTGCAGGTACAGGCGTCCGGTTCCAGTCTCGGAATTGTAACTCTCCCGCAGGACATCAGAAAACCCCGAAACAACTTCAGTTCAGTAAAAATAATTTAAGTTCAATAAAAATATCAAAAATAATTTCAAGTCTATAATTACATAGAGTCATAGATATCTATTTACAAACAAAACTAAATTTTTTATATAAATAAGCGATATGATATTGTAAAGTGACTATATGATCGTATTTAACATTCAAACCAATAAATCTATGCTAAATTTTTTTTCAACAATCCGAGCATCGCCCGGGCACAAAACTAGTAACTAATATATAAAGCTAAACTTTTAGCCAGGTCATGAGACAGTGACACTTGGCATTTTAACTTTTCGTTAAGTGCCACGCCACGTAGGCAACAACTAAATATTAATATGACAAGTAGGATTTATTTGGACATATTTTTATGTTAGGATTACAGTGGTTTCAATCAAGAAAACACTTAAAACAAAGTGTGGGAACAAATCCTAAAATATGTTTACAATATAAATGTAAACATCAAATACAATTCAATGTATCACAATCAAGTATTAGATATATCTAAGAAATTACTGAAAATTACAAAGATTACACTAGTGTGAAGATGATCAAACTTGTCTTTCCTCCAAGCCATTAATTCCAAGCATGAACATGAGAAAACCGGTGTCCCGTAAGACAAGTACCTTGATACACTATCAAAGGCGTGTAAACACTTTCCTAAAGAGGTTTATTTCCCCCACACGGTGCTTGGGTTAAACCGAAAATCCTCTTTGAGATACAATTGACAGCAAATTTCGTTCTTAGCACTAGAATCAAAAAAACAATGAATAATTCACTAAGATTGATTAAATTTCAAGTGTTTTTCTCACAAAAGTTTGCAAGAAGTTTGAGAGAAAAATGTGGAGAATTACTCTTGGGAAGAAAGAAAACTGATACTCTTATCAAAACTTTCCTTCTCTTCTTTTGAAATAAAAGAACGAAAATCGCAACCGCTGAGGGCCGCGGGCGCGGCAGCCTTACCTGTGGGCGCGGATAGGGTGAAAATGGATTTCACCTAACTTTATGGAGATGCCAAGCCGCGCCCTGGGAGAGGGCTTTCCTCAAGCCCGCGGGCTCGGCTATATGGCTCTCCACATACACTCTATATATTGCAACATTTTAAGTTGTATTTTTTTTATTAGGATAAAGACTTAGATAAATTTTGTAGGATAAAAAAGGTTAGTTTAGAGTTTTATTTTCAATAAAATTTGGAAAGATTTATAGGATAAAATTGTTGTTTTAGAGTTTTATTTTCGATAAAATACCAATATTCTATAGGTACAAAATAAATTATAAGTTTAGCCAAACCACGAGACAGTGACACTTGACATTTTTTCACCAATGTCGAGCCACGTGGAAAGCAATTAAATAATTATCACATAAGTTTATTTTTATATCATACTTTTTTGGAGCGAAAGAAGTAGTTCAAAACGTACAACATTCATTTTTAATACTACCACTGATTTTTATTAATTGCAACTTTGAAATATTTTATATCTCACAAATAATACCTTAAAGTTGTAACTAATAAAAATCGGAGGTAGTATGTTCTACTTGATTGAAATAAAATACTTCACAATCTATATGTAGACTTGTAAATCAGGTCAGGACGCGGGTCATTTCAGGTCACGAGTTAAGAAATTTTCAACGCTAGCCCAAAGTTCCAACGGGCTTAGAACAATTTTTTTATTTAATTTATTTTTGGCTAATTTTTAGAAATTTCTAATATTTCTAGCTTACTTTGCTATTTTTTTTTTTAATAATTTTTTAAATCAAACATTTTCACTAATATTGTTATTAGTCATTACATGCCCAGTATTACCCACTACATAATTTAAATCGTCACAAAATCACATTAATTTCTAACTAAATATATTTTAAAACTTGGTGTATAGATAAAAAGTTTATCATAAAATTCAATAAACAACCCGGGCATCACACGGGGCACCAAACTAGTTGTTTATATGATTTTAACTTTGGCAATATTTATGTAAGTCACATTTTTTTCTATTCGGAGTACTAGAATAGAGAAAAATTACTCAGCCATAATTGTTAGAAATTAAATCAAATACCTTACTTTAATTCATTTTTTGATTTATATTTAAGTAAAAACACATTTATACTGCATCTTTTTTTTTTTTTTTAGAAAATATACTACATCTTTTTAGATATAATATGAAATACCTTGTAATAATTTCTACAATTCTATTTATCGATAATATTGAGAATTAGAATATGCATTTGCAAACGTTGTCAATTAAAATGAAATAGAGAAAGCATGTATCAATTTTATTTTTTTTTGTTGTTGTTGTTGTTTAGAGAGCCAGGAGGAAAGCGCTAACCACTTAAACTATCCCTCACTCTCAAAAAGAAAACATGTATTATTTTAAATAGTGCTTAAATTTCTATGATAACCTAAAAATTAACGTAAGAAATAAATTTACCAAATTTACAGTTTACCATAATTTACAGCATTAAAATAAGTAGTAGGAGTATACTACAACACGTTTGCAGTTTACACATAGTTCGAGGAAATAGTTTGTAAACTCGATCAGTTGTTGTAGTTCACAGATTTTTTAACTTTCATTCAATTTTCACAACTTGTACACGACACCACCATCAACTGCTCCCTTTTCTGACATCCATCCTACCAAACCAACTAATCTTCGTATAAAACACAACCATAACTAAGCATTTTTTAAATCATTAAACTAAAATAAACCAAACTAGTAAAAATATTTTAAATTTTATTGTTTAGGAAATAAAATAAGGATAGCTAGTTTACTAATGAAATTCAAACATTTATATATAAAAAGAAATAATAATAATAATAATAAAAAAAAAATACACAAGAAGTTAGACCAATTTTCTCTCAATACTACAACCCAACATATATGAAATTCAAACATAATTATTCGGGTGATACTAGGGGTGAAAGTTCGGTTTTCGGTTTGGTTTTTTGCCCAAACCGAAACCAAACCACCAAATTTCGGTTTCTTGATTTTGCAAACCACACCGCACCACTTTAGCTTTGAAACCGAACCAAACCAAACCACCTAAATTTCGATTTTCCTAAAAAAAACCAAACCGCACCGAATTTTCCTCTCAAGCATCCTAAACATCACATTTTGCAAAAAAACCGAACCAAACCACACCAATTAAAATTGAACCAAACCAAACCATACAAACATCCCACCTAAAACCCACCTACCACCCACCCTAACCTACCAAAAAACACCGAAACTACCACCACTAACCACCCACAACAATGCCCACTAACCACCACTAACCACCCATAGAAACTATCACCACTACCACCCACAACAACCACCAAAAACCACCTTATCACCACCCCTAACCCAGATCCGCACCCACCACAACCCACAACCCACCTTATTTCACCACCCTTCATCCTTTCCACCCAAACACTAACCCTAGATCGACCCACAACTACCTATCACCACCGCAATTCAATCTACACGGCTACGCCACCATAAAAATAAAGTAGGAAAAAAAATTCAAATCAAATTAAAATTAAGAAAAAGAGGACATACCTCACATTCCACCGAAAAACCTCGAATTTGGGTTTTAAAGGTCAAGTTCGACCATGAAAACACTAGATCTAGTGTTTTCATGGATGAATTTGACATGAAAAACCTTAGCTACTCAGTTGATGGCTTAATAACGTTGTAAATAAACTTATTCGCTGTGGGCTGGTGGGGAAAAGAGGAGAACAGAGTGATGGAGAAGAGATCAAAGAGGAGAAAGAAAGGACGGAGTTGAGAAGAGGAAAGGAGGGAGAGGAAGAACTAAGATTCTGAGAAGAGAAGAGAGGAGAGAAAGGGCGGAGAGGTGAGATCAGGAGAAGAAGAGGAAAGGAGAGGTGAGAGACTGAGAGTCAGATGAGGAAGTGAGGGATTAGGGTTTTTTTTTTTCCTTTATATACTTAGGGTAAAAGTGTTGGGCTAGGGGGCTTTTGGGCCTGAAATTTCGGTTCTGTTCGGTTTTGTTCGGTTTTTCGGTTTTTCAATTTCTAAAACCGAAACCAAACCGAAAACCGAAATATTTTTTTTTTCAAAACCAAACCGAACCACTTTCGAAAAAAAAACCGAACCATATTTCTTATTCGGTTCGGTTTTCGGTTTGGTTCGGTTTTAACCCAAATTTGTTTCACCCCTAGGTGATACATTGATAATAAGTTGTCAAAATTTAATTAAAGTTTGAGAAATATTCTTTTTTTTTTTTTTTTTTTTGACAGGTTGAGAAATATTCCTATAAATAGGGAATGAGTAGAGTATGGAGGACAGCAATAAACTACTAAGCGAGGAAAACAAAGTAACTACAGTATTACAAATTGTCAAACTATCTTATCTGACTTGGGAAGAAAAGGTTAAAAGACCAAATTTATTAAAAACAAAGCTTGAAAATAATCATCTTATCTGATAAAATACACCAGTATCGGGTTGTCAAACATTAATTACAATGCACAAATATTCTATAAGTAGTAATTATAATAGGCTAGAAATATTTTGTCAAACTATAATATAAATATTTTTATTTGGAAGAATATGGACCATGCTTACTACAAAAGCTCGAACTTAATAATTCTTTTAGATGAAATACAATTGTAACAAGTTGTCAAACACTAATTACATTGCAGAAACATTCTATAAATAGGTAATAAAAATGGAGGACAGCAATAAGATTACTAAATCAGGAAAAATAATGTATTTACAAAAGATTAAAATTTATGAATAATATAAATTAAGGGTTAAAAATAGTATTTCCACACTTGCATTTCCATTTCATAGGTTTATAATTAGACAATCCATCTCCTCTTGAATATGCAATTGTTGGAGTTGAATGCATAAAATGGCTTCTTGGAAAACCTTTTTGAGGTACTATTGGAACTTGAATTGCTTCACAATGTCCGCAATTGTTGCATCTTCCTTGGCATCTTGGTGGGCTTGATCCTATCAATGCTCTTCCTATCAATCTTTCTTCTTGCTCCTGAAAATATTGTAAATTACACCATTAATTTTGCAACAAATTTTTTGTTAAAATGTGGAAAATTTTGAACTTTTTTATTTTTACCTTTAGTGCCACATTTTGTTGTGGAATTGACAAGCCTGTGACAAATGCAAGAGAGGATGATATGTTAAAGTGAGAAATGAAGACAATAAGACTAAATTGAAAGGAGTTAGTTGTCACATTAATAGGGTATTAAAAAAGGTGACAACTAAACTCGGGCCGAGGTATGTAGTTTATTAGTTTACCTTGAGCAAGGAATGGATGTTGTTGTTGAAGTTGAGTGAATGTTGAAGCTAAGAAGAAGAGCAAAGAAAAGAGTAGAAGTGTATTAGTGATATAAAAGACATGATTTTGAGGAAAACCCATTTAAGAAAATGAAAAACCAAAAAAAAAGAAAGTGTTTTGAGTTAATAATAATGAGAAGTGAAATTGAGAATGAGTGATTGAATGGCAGGGGATTGAGAGAGTAAACTGAAGGGTATTTGGATGAAAGGTGGGAAGGCAAAAAGAGAAGAGCAGAAAGCATCTATTGAAACCAAAGCCTTAAATGGGAAAAAGACTTTGATTAATAAACTTTTTGACAAAACCTCGTTCAATGAGCCTTCAATACTAAACCCAAAGACTTCTGCCACCAAAGTTGTCTTGCCACGCAAAATTCTATGAGAAATTTGAGAGCATCGTCATCATGGTTGAAAATTTATGATTGTGAAAGAGATTATTGTCATATGGCCACCCATTTGAAAATTTGGGTTATTTTATTTCGTTTTGCATGTACTTATACTCTCTCCCTTTTTTAAGTCTCTATCCGTTTTTTAAGTCAATTTTAATTTTCTTATCTAAAGCTATCAAGTTTTATTGGGGTATTTAATAAGAGAATTAATTGTGAAAATATTAAAATAAAATTTATATTAATATTATCGATCGACGTATAATTTTGTCATGTATTTTGAACTTAATACTACTTTAAATAATATACTACTTAATTATTTAACGCCCCGAACACTTATTAGCAAAATCCTATTTTCATACACTTTGCCTATATTTTCTTTTCGGGTTATTTAAGAAACTTTGTCTCACTTTAAGTCTTTCACTCTCATTTATTGTAATTTTTAGCACCTTATTACGCTAAAACTATAGACCGAATATCGATACCCCCAATTTTCAACAATTTCTAAAGTTTACCCCTATAAGGTGGAAATGTTTTAAATTTTTTTGAAAAATAGACAAACTTGTTCCTCCAAAAAGTTAAATGAACATTTAGTCCCAAAAAATAATTTTCTAGCTCTGTCGTCCCTAATTAAAAAAAATTTCATTCACTATATGTTAATTAATTCTATATCCACACTATTGTTACACTCGCTTACTTTTTATTTCTCCTTCGACAACTTTGTAAGGTCAAAGTTAACATTTAAAAAATGGAAAAAAGTTATTAAAAAAAAAAAGAATTCTACTCTTAATTATCATCACTAATCCCACTCTTTTAAATCTATTGCAAATGCAGTTATGGAAAAGAAAAATAATAATAAAATTAATAGGGTTCTTATCAATAAAGAATCATAAATAATTAAATTAAACCACATCCTAATTTGAAAATATAATAGGAGTGGTTATAATAAAATTGAATATGGCTTAATCAGTTAATTAAAATCCACTTAAAATCAAGTCAAATTAACTCATCACTTAAATGCGAATAAATCCAAATAAACAAGAGCATAACTTCATCACGGGAAATGATTTTGGCACATTAAAAATTAATTTTAACACACTTTTACGTGAGAAAAGCCTAAAATAATGTACTCTAACAATGAGTGGCCAAAATTACCTCCAAAATCATTTCCCCATAATTACCACCACTAATCCCACTCTTTAAATCTACCACTAATCCCATTCTTTAAATTTAAACATTCCTCTTCTCAAATGTTACACATGAAAGAGGCAAACAAGCACAAATGACAGTATGGCACCGTCACAATCCTCTATTCACTTACCCTCATTACGCCAAGTAGGCAGCTGCAAGCCTACAATCTTCTGCAAATTTAGTTAACACACTTTTGGAGAGAGTTGATTCTGATTTCTCCCCTTTCTACACGCCATCGTAAGGTTAATTTTGTGAGTTAGTGAATTGGTTAAGAATGATATTTTACCTCACTTTTCACGCTATCTTAAGATTTTACTGTATTTTTCCATCTTTCTTTCTTTTACATTTGTTAGATCCTAAAATTTCGAATTAGACAACAAAATACTGCCAACTGTAAGAATCTCTTTCTGAATCTTTCCTTTTCTCTTTTTTAATTGACGTGACACCATTAATTCTTGTCATATTTCCACACAATCACCTTGATTTTTAATTTCTAGATTTTGTTGTATTTATTTGGAACATTATACCTACACTATAACGTAGACCTGACAATCTTGATTTGACCCGAATGATCCGATCTACAACCCAAAAATTGACTAAAATCATTGATCTGAAAATGACCCAAACCCGAATTAACTCGTTCGACCCGAATACGACTCGAAATAGAGTTGACCCGAATGTGACCTGATGCCCGAAATGACCCGACCCGAATGACCCAATCCGAAATTGACCCAAAACCCAAAGTGACCCGAATTGATTGACCCGAACCAACACAACCTGAAGTGACTTGACCCGAAGTAACCCGATAGGTGCTCACATTTTATTTTATTTTATTTTATTTTTTTAAAGAAATTTACTTTAGTTTCTAATTATTATATAAAAGTTACTCTTATTATTGAAATAAGACGGAATTTTCCCACAAAATGTTTAAGTGAATTTATCTTTGGCGACTCGATCCGACTCGAACTGACCCGACCAGAAGTAACCCGATCAGAATTAACCCGAAAATTAGCCTTGAAAATTGACTCGACCCGAATTGACACGACTCGAACTTGACCCAACCCGAACTTAACTCGAAGTGTTGACCCGAATTTGACCCAAAACTTGAACTGACCCGACTCGACCCGAATATTAGCCGACCCGACCCGAAATGACTTGACTTGAACCCGACCCGAACAACCTGTTTGCCAGGTCTACTATACCGTGTACAAAAATAAAATAATTCTCCTCTTTCTAAAAAAAATAAAATAATGTATCACTCCTTCCTTTACTAAAAAAAAAAAAAAAAAAACTACTCCGCTCTATATTACCTCTATGTGTACGTGATGTGTGCGTGGTTGATGTATGAAAGCGTAAAAGCATGTTATTATATGTAATCAGAGAAGTGCAGAGAAGGTGTGTGTAAGCAGAGCAAAGATGACAATAATGATGATTATTATATGTAATCCCATGTGCGATGCACGATTTTAGTTATTATCATATGTGGATCACTGTGTTTTTTTTTAAAATCATATTGGTTACTTACGTGCAAAACTATTTTTTCTAATATGAATCGTGAAAGATAGTTTTATTTTTAAATAACATTTGATTAATTTTGATTTACAATAATCTCATTCGGACATTGTAATAATTAATTCAAAGTTATAAATTATTTTTTTCACTTATATTAATGGATAAACAACTTTTTTTTTTTTAAAAAAAAATTTTACTAATTTAAAATTTCATTCATTAATTTGCTATATTTTAATTCTAAATTAAATTGTAATCCTTTATATAATTTAAGCTTTTGTACATTTTTTATGAATCTCATTCGTTGGATGTTTGGATAAAACTCCTTATATCATAAGATAATTTTTTCATTATTTAAACTAAACACTAAAGTTATTTAATAGTAATCCCCAATTATTATTTATTTTTTATTGGCACTTGAATTTAAAATTTCAAACCTTATTCGTTGATATTTCTTATGTGGCGATTGAATTTTTTTAATTTAGAATAAAATTACAAATCTCTTTATATTTGTTGAAATAAGTCTCTTGCTTATGTGGTGCGTCGAATGCTTTCGAAAATGCATACTTTATATATTAGATTATTATTATTAATAGAAATATAAATACATGAAATCTAGAATTACTAGCCGTCCTCTCATCTCTCCCCTTCTCTTCTAGGGTTTAAAATTTTTTGGCCGTTTACGTCGAAAATAGTCTAATTTCTTCGAAAATTAGACTATTTTTGACCCTTTAATCTTGTTTTTCTATAGTGTTGCATTTTAGGTTACAATAAATCTACACAAGTAGTGTAGATATTCATCATCTCCCTATGGTGGAGTCGTTAGTTTTTGTTAGTTTAGTTGTTTGTTTTTCGTTAGGGTTTATTTGTGTGTCAGGGATTATCAAAAAAGTAATCATCCTTTGCCCTATTATCAGTTCGTTGGTAAACATTTGTTTAGGATCGCAACGGTTGTTGAATTCTCAAATGCGTTCAAGCGAATCATATAATAATCCTCCTTACGGCTACAACAAATCGTTAGGCCGTTTATCCGATAAGGCTACATTTTTCAGCGATGTGTGCGAGGGATGTACCACATTGCAAGATTTTTTCAATGATACTACGTAGCTTTGATGAAGGAAACCTTTATATGATTCAATTTTATGGTTTTCTTAATTTAGATTTCATTTGTAGAAGCCGGATGACTTTTTATTAATGAATTGATTTTGTTCAAAAAAAAAAAAGATTTGTTTCGGGGTTTTCTGTGTCCCTCGGGAGAGTTACAATTCTAAGACAACACTCCGGGCGCTTGTACCTGCAAAACAACAAAGACTCCAGTTGGGTGGAGTTTCGCCTCCGACGATCAAGTTAGAACGTGTTCGGAAGATATAAGCTAAGATGCGGAATGTAAAGTGGGATCAGGTTTCTCTATGGAGAGAAATGATCATCCGGCTATCAGAGACAGCCTCAGTATCCGAGTGTTTCACTCTCGTATGTAATTAATTCTGCAATTAATGCTCTATCTGATTAATTAATCTAATCTCTCTTGATGAATAATTAATGTGTGTGTTTCCTAAGAGGAAACATCTCCCTTTTATAGGGTCTGGAAATACGTGCCCATACTAGGTTACAGAAAACCTAGGACTGACGGGCTGCCTAGGGATTTGGGCCTTGAAGGCTGCCAAGCCCTTGCTGAATATCCGTCTGCCACTGTCGAGCCATGGTAGGTCCACTTCGGGCTCTCCTTAGGGTGACACATGGCGGACTCTGATTAGTCCACGTGACGGACTCTGATTGGTCCACGTGGCGGGGTAAAAATACCCTAATCATTTGCCCCTCATAGGGGTGACATGGCTCCCACGTGGCGCCTGTGACATGTGTCACATACGGATAGGTGAACAATTTTTTACCGTTTTACCTTCTAGAACATCTTGCAGAGGTGCCCCCTAGAATTCTTACCCCCCTATATAAGGGTCATGCCCTCCATCATTTTCGCATATTCTCAAGACTTTTTCGGACATAGAATCTTGGACTTTTAGGAAAGAACTAGTCTTTTTTTTTTTTTTTTTTTTTTTTTTTTTCTGAAAAAAGCAACTGCCGCCTGCACTTGACCGCCTGTTTCTACAGCCGTCCAAGACTTTCTTCAAGCGCCTACGATACCTTTGGACTAAAGGTAACCGCCTGCTTTCCTCTCGTATTTTAACTTTGTTTCTTTTCTTTCTGAAAATGGTTTCCCAAAAGCACACGGCATGACCTAGGTTAGTTATCAGCCGGTCACCAGGGACGGCTGAATCTAGAACTAGGAGTGCCGACTGCCCCTTGCTGGACCACCCTTTGCGAACTTCCCCGAGTCCGACTTTCTCTATGTCTGTGTAGGAC